ACGAGTGAATATTCAAGTTTTAGCAATATACGCAAGTGGAATTTGAGGCACAATAAGACTAATTGATATTCTGCTATGCATATTTCAATATCATTTTTTTGCGTGATATATCACGTTTTCATTAAGATAAACTACTGAATATTCGAATCATTGTAATTTTAATTAAACTGAACTTATAACAGGTGTTTGAATTATTTATTTTTTGATTTATTCAATTCTTTATGAACTGTATGCAAAAGCCCCTTTTATCGAAGGGGCTTTTGTCATCCAATAGAAGTTTAAGTCATTGTGATTGGCAAAAAGTGACTAGGTTTTAACCGAATTCAGTTTCTGTTTGGAGAGTAAGATTTCCGCATTTCTTTCCGCGTTCAGATCTTTGCGTACAATCAGAGCGACTGAAATTGCCCCAATAATGGCTGGAATAGCAACTGCCAGGAAGTTCATCTTGTGGGGCAGCTCCATACCCAACAGGAATCCAATAATAATCGGCCCCACAATGGCGCCTACCCGACCGACTGCTGAAGCACAGCCAATACCTGTAGAACGGATTGACAGTGGATAGTACTGGGCTACAAAGCTGTAGAGCAGAATACTACTTCCGATCGCTGAAGCACCGGCAGCGGCAACCAGTAGATAGATCACGGCTTGTGGAGAGTTAAAGCCTAATCCGACCAGTGAAACTGCACCTAGCAGGAACATACCAATAATGACCGGTTTCAGATGGAAACGGTCAGCCAGAATACCGCCACCAATAGTTCCAATCACTGCGCCAATATTCATGGCCATCAGGAACATCAGACTGTTACCCAGAGAATAACCCGCTGCCATCATCAGTTTTGGTAACCAGCTACCCAATGCATAAACCATCAGCAGACACATAAAGAAGCAGCACCAGAATAATAAAGTACTCATACTCCTCCCCTGTCTGAACAGGGCAGCAATTGAAGCATCAGGTGCGTGTACTTCATTCAGTACAAACTGGGTACGAGCGGTAGCATTTTGCTCAGGACTGATCTGCTGAACAATTTTACTGGCCTTGTCATTTTGCTGTT